GCCCCATGACGCAATGATCTGTTCACAATTCCTGGAAGCTGAAAATGTCCCAGTTCTTCCATGGCCTGCATACTCACCAGACATGTCACCCATTGAGCATGTTTGGGATGCTCTGGATCAATGTGTACGACAGCGTGTTCCAGTTCCCGCCAATATCCAGCAACTTCGCACTGCCATTGAAGAGGAGTGGGACAACATTCCACAGGCCACAATCAACAGCCTGATCAACTCTATGCGAAGGAAATGGAAATGTGTCGCGCTGCAGATACATTTGGTGGTCACACAAATGGTGGTCACACCAGATACTGACTGGTTTTCTGAGTCATGCCCCTACTTTTTTTTGTAAAGGTATCTGTGACCAACAGATGCATATCTGTATTCCCCTTCATGTGAAATCCATAGATTAGGGCCTAATGAATTCATTTAAATTGACTGATTTCTTTATATGAACTGTAACTCAGTAAAATCTTAGAAATTGTTGCATGTTGCGTTTATATTTGTCATGACTACAGGTGAGGATCTAAGGCCTCAGATCAGCTTGCCAGTGGTTGACAACAACCAGACCCCCTCTCACCCACAGAAGAGGGAGGGGGGAGGGGAGGGGAGGGGGCGGTTTCTAACATCCGAATGTTTGGAATGGTCAGTGGGGATCTAAAGAATAATCATGTCACATTGTTTATTATTTTGTGATGTCATTAAAACTGTTATAGAGAAAATACTGTAATTTGGAAAGTATACACACTTTATCTGTCAAGTTTACATCCAATATGTTGTGTATATAATATGGAAAATTATGAGAGTATGTTTGTTAAGATAGGAATGTGATTTTAGTTTTTTAACGAGATCATAGTTTCATATAAGCTTCGCACCAGTCAGTAGCCACACCCAAGTGAGCTCAGAGATCGTGTCAGCAAGTAGGAACTCCCCTTTTACCAAGAGGGCATAAAGGCTTGAAAGACAAATTCACATCAGACCAGAAAGTGTGGAGCTGTGGCTACATGTTTGAACTTTGAACCTCAAGTAGGTGAAGAAGATAAACTCACCAGACTAGACCTGAACATTGCCAGTCTGCAGCTGAGTAGCTGTTCTGAGAACACTCCACTACAAGCCAGGACAACTAAGAAGAAGGACATTTTGACCTCTGGTGGACAACCAGAGTCTTACACCGACTCAGGACACCAACTGACCCCTTCCCAAGAAGGCTTGAGTCCAACAGAGATAAACGACGAAGGAAGACATTCTACATGTAAATACATTCATGATTTCTTACCCCAAACGGGTGGTGATTCGTGAGCAAAGTATTATGATTGCTTTGAGGGTAGTCTCTCTCTCTCCCTCTCCCTATCTACCCCTCCCTCTTTTGGTAACCAAGCAGTCATGTTGTTAGTCCGCTAGGGACTTTTTCTCATGTATTAAGTGTGTATGTTATTCTGTGTTATTATTTAGTTAGCTAGTAAATAAATAATTAAGCCAATTTGTGTAGTGCTGAATCATAAGTAAAGCTAGGTTTCATGCAGATCCAAGAAGTCTACGACCGTTCAGAATGAGACTGATAAGAGGTAATGATTGATACGTTGAGAGTTTAATTTGGGAGATGGTAACTCTATAAACAACTTCTTCCGTGGTGCCCCAAATCCTAATGAGTTAATTGTTACATGATTCATTTAATCGAGTAACAATTAAACATAGTTATTTGATTCGATAAATAACAGTCATCATATTAATGAAAGTAACGTCATGACATATTTTTGTTCAGTGTAGTAATGTCTTGTATGATGTATATTTGTATTTATGATTTAGGCTGTTCTTGTGTTTTAACTCTGTTTGGCAGCAGCTAATGGGCATCCTAATAAATACTAAATACTGTTATGTTCAGCTCATAACTGTTTTTTAAATCTTTCTGTTGTCTGGTGGTCAAAGCAAGACTGGGAAAAAAGTCTGGACCAGTGTTTCCCAACTCGTCCTCAAGTACCCGCAACAGCACACATTTTTGTTGTAGTCTCGGACAAGCACACCTCATCAAGCCCTCAATGAGTTGAATCAGGTGACTTTGTCCGGGGCTACAACAAAAATGTGTGCTGTTGGGGGTACTCGAGGACTGGAGTTGGGAAACACTGGTTCAGGACAACCCCTCACTCTCCCTCTCTGCTGCTCTCTCTCTCTCTCTCTCTCTCTCTCTCTCTCTCTCTCCAGTTAATGTCACCTCTTCCGGAAATTACTGACACCTAAAACTTACCCTCTTTCTATTTACTGTAACAAGCATCCTCACCCAATGAGCACCGACCGACACCGGACATCCATGGACATTGAAAAGTAGTTGAAATTAGGTCAGTCCACCCTAGCTGGACCAAATCTCAACCAATCATAGACGTCTATGTTTCACAAGTTCGGACCGTACAGTACAGTAAAGAAAAGTAAAGTACAGTACACTAGAGTACAGTAGAATATAATGTACTCTACTGTACTGAACATATGTACTTTACTATACTGTACTGAACTCTGCTGTGCTGTGCTGTACTGTACTATACTGTACTGTACTGTGATGTCCAAACTTGTGAAACATAGACGTCTATGATTGGCTCAGATTTTGTCTGGTCCAGACCAACCAAATGTGGTCTTTTTTGGGGGCGGAGCTCATTACAATAATAGCCAATTTGTAGAATAATACCCAAATATGAAAAGAAGGATATTGCATATTTCTACCTTTTGTGTACCTATACAGGAGACCTCACCATGAAGAGAATGATATTCATCCATAATTGTGCATTTCTGTATGGTACAGATCAGGGACCCATGATGTAATTCCGTTACCGTAATTTCGTTACCACATCACCTACTGTAGTTCAATAACCCAAATACATGTTTTCAAACTCAAGGTGTAATGTCATAGCTGACACCCCATTCTTTCTGCAGACAACTTTGAATCTTAATTTTTAGTTTTTGGAAAACATGGTCACATCAAAAAATGAGGGATATTTTACCGTAATTCTGTTACCAAACTTTGCATCTGCACAGTTCTTCCAGTAAATGTGTTTTTGTGACGTTTTCTGTGTAAATTGTTAAAAGTAGTCCTTGTGCATAAAGTCGTATGGTTTGTTAAACTTTGAAATAATTGTTTTTTGTTTGGTATACATTTTAAAGTGACAAATCTGAGTCTAAGCATAATTCCATTTCCATGGAATTGCCCATAGCTGTTGGTGTTGTTTAGGCTTATTTTTTATTTATTAAGGAAACACATAAGTGAATGTACTTGTGTCTTTTTATGAAGGCACTGACAGCAGAGATTGTGAAGACCATCCGTGATATTATCGCCCTTAATCCACTTTACAGGTAATGACATTTTTCTTTTAAAATAAATAACCGTTGTTCAAAATACCTGTGAATGTGTCTCCCAATGTCTAGATCAGGGGTTCTCAAAGTGGGGCCAGGGGTCCGCAGAAGTACTGCATGGGGTCCGCGACCAGATCTCAAAATATATATAGAAATATATACCAGTGTACAAAACATTTAACAACACCTTCCTAATATTGAGTTGCACCCCCTCACCCCCCTTTTGCCCTCAGGACAGACTCAATTCGTCGGGGCATGGACTCTATAAGGTGTCGAAAGCATTCCAAAGGGATGCTGGCCCATGTTCACTACAATACTTCCCACAGTTGTGTCAAGTTGGCTGGTTGTCCTTTGGGTGGTGGACCATTCTTGAAACACAAGTGAAACTGTTGAGCGTGAAAAACACAGCAGCGTTGCAGTTCTTGACACACCCAAACCGGTGTCTGGAACCTACTACCATCTCCAGTTCAAAGACACTTAAATATTTTGTCTTGCCAATTCACCCTCTGAGTGGCACAATGTGGCATACCGCGGATAAGCCACCAGGGAGAGACTTGTCGCGGCCTGGTGACAGACGGAGTCTACATAATGCGGCGGTGGCGCCCTCTGCTGGACGTGCCAGGTCTCGACGGGTCCTCTGGCCAGGATTAATTGGGGCTGATTGAGGCTGGTGAGTAATGAAGGGGCTGATTGCTCACCAGCCATACGGGGCCCATAAAGCTGCCAGGAGGGCAGCACACGGGAGGGTTGGAGGTAGTGAGAGGTTGCTACCGGATCGGCGTCCTCATGGTCTGCTAGAACCGAGGGGCTCTGTGTTCTACCCCAGAGGAGACAGCATTCCCCGGAGCCCAGAAGACGGTAACCAGGAAAAGGTCTCCTGGAGGAGACTTGTTTATTTTCTTTATTGGTTTAAATAAACACCCTTGAAACTGAGGTATCACACTTGTGTCTGATCTGTGTAAACATCTAGATCAAACCCTCTGGTCTGCCACAACACATACACAATCCATGTCTCAAGGCTTAAAAATCCTTATTTAACCGGTCTCCTCCCCTTCATCTACACTGATTTGAAGTGGATTTAACAAGTGACATCATCATAGACTGACCAGGGGAATCCAGGTGAAAGCTATGATCCCTTATTGATGCACTCTAATTTAAGCTTTAAAACTGCAAAGTTTTCTCTCTGCCTCATGGAAGAAATGTTAGAATTGCAGAATATTTGTGTTAAAGCTGCAACAACAATGCCAAGAGGCGTTTCCGATGCCAAGAGGCGGGCCTTTAAAATGTTCCTTCCCAGAGCCCGAGACTTGGTTTGCCCAACCATGCACTGCCAAAGTCATAGTAAAACTCTTTGAATGCTATTTCTATCTCACTCGAGTTGTGTTCTAGTTATGAGGGGATCCCTAATGAATTTGCTATCACAAAAAGGGTCCCGGCCCCAAAAAAGTTTGAGAACCCCTGGTCTAGATGAAGGTAATTATGAATGCATTAATAGTCCAGAACTCTTATGTTTATTCGAACACAGTGAATGTTACTGACACTCATTTTTGTAAAAGGTTTTACTTCAGATGCCCACATGTGTTTTTCAGCCTCCCTTTTTTAAATGCACGAGTGTCTGTCAAATGACTAAAATGTAATTGTGTCTGTACAGACAGTCTGTTCTTCAGATGATGCAGGCTGGGCAGGCAGTAGTGGACAACCCCATCTATCTGAGTGACATGGGAGCGGCTCTAACAGGGGCCGTGTCACACGAGCTACAGGACGTCCTGGAAGAGACCAATGTAAGTGGACAGGGATTGTCCTTACTAACAAACATTATCAGCTCTTTACAATCTTTTCTTTGCCTTTTCTTTCTATGGATGTTCAAACTAGAAAAATAAGAAATTAAGCCCATAAGTATATGCTTTGTAGCTCAATTGGTAGAGAGAGCGTGGTGTTTGTAACGCCAGGGTAGTGGGTACAATTCCCGGGACCACCCATACTTAAAATGTATGCATACATGACTGTAAGTCGCTTTGGACAAAAGCGTCTGCTAAATGGCAAATATTATATTATTACATTTACATATTATATCGACATAACATACAATTCTCAGTACTTCATCAAGACAATCATTTTTCAAAAACGTTTTAACGCTCTCCTCAGATTCCCAAACGTCTGTGCAAGGCTTTATCGCTGCTGAAGAAAGAATATGAGCTGAGTAAGCAGCAGCATCGCCTTGGCAGTGCCTTGGCAGTGCCTTGGCAGTGCCTTGGCAGGGAGGTAAGTGACGTCTCCCTCATTAGCCAATTTTGAGATGTACAGTACCTCTTCAAAACAATTTTTTCATCAGCTCAAGCTCTTTGCTAAATTAAATGACAAATCTTACTGTAAAATAGTGTCCTAAATGAATGGGAAAAGATGGGCCGTGCACCAATCCAATATGACAACTCTTTGATTCCCTGGACAGAATTAAATAGATCACAATATTTGATATAATTATGATATTGTATCTGTATTATTCTCTGTGGGAAGTACCTCCTGCAGGAGCAGCTGAAGATCATTAAGAAGGAGCTAGGCCTGGAGAAGGAGGACAAGGACACCATCAAGGAAAAGTTCAGGGAGAGGCTGAAGGATCGCACTGTGCCCCAGCACATCATGGACGTCATCAATGAGGAGCTCAACAAACTCAGCCTGCTGGACAACCACTCCTCAGAGTTCAAGTCAGTCCCTGAACCCTGAATCAACCCCTAGCCTGTCCCTGCCCCATAGGAACGTGTAGATCGGAGAGGATTGCATGGGTTTAAGCAATATGGCGACAATTCCACCTGGCCTATCAGAGGGCAAAATGGAGCTTACCACCATATTGCTTACACCTGTCCAATCCTCATAGATGTACGCAAGTGCCATGGGGGTAGGGGCTAGGGGTTGATTTTGGAGTCAGAGTGTGGCCTCCGCTTTAGCCTCACCTTTGAAAAATCACTCAGAAAGATCATTGGATTTTTTGTCACATATGTCCTATTTTAAACAAACTCTGAAAATACGCTCTTGAACATGTATGTGATGAACATGACTCTTCTATTAAACTCTCCGTTGATTCTGTATGCAGTGTGACCCGGAACTATCTGGACTGGCTGACCTCGATGCCCTGGGGAACTAATAGTGAGGAAAACCTAGAGCTGAAACGGGCCAAAGAGGTGCTGGAGGAGGACCATTATGGGATGGACGACGTCAAGAAATGCATTCTGGTGAGAGGATTGCACTGTGGGATCACCATGGTCACAATCTGACAGTGTTTGACAGTCAGATTTTGGATGTCAAAAAACTATAATAATCTGTTACCAAATATTTCCTCATCAAGAAAATAAAGTTTTCCCTTGACCTCACCCATCTCCCTCTCTTCCCTCCTGCAGGAGTTTATTGCAGTGAGCCAGCTGAGAGGCTCAACCCAGGGAAAGATCCTGTGTTTCTTTGGCCCTCCTGGTGTAGGAAAGACCAGTATCGCCCGCTCCATCGCCAGAGCACTCAACCGAGAAAATTTCCGCTTCAGTGTTGGTTGTGTGACAGATGTTGCCGAAATCAAAGGCCACAGGTGGGTACTTAGCTACTGTTTATTGCTCAATAAAACAATTATGTCACCATTCAAATACTAGACAATACAAAGTTGAGAGTAACTATTACTTACTGTACTTTTGTGTTGTTTGTTTTCAGGAGAACATATGTGGGAGCCATGCCTGGAAAGATCATTCAATGCCTCAAGAAGACAAAGACAGAAAACCCACTGGTCCTTATTGATGAGGTGAATAACAACAACTTTATTTTCAAAGATCTTTTGCTATGTAGTCAGCTCTAGTTTTATTTGGTTGACATTCATTTCGTTGTGTATTGTTTGTATCACTGTATTATTGGTGAAGGAGGTGATTGACCATTCTGTGTTTATTCTTCCAGGTTGACAAGATAGGTCGTGGTTACCGAGGCGACCCGTCCTCAGCTCTGCTGGAGCTCCTGGACCCGGAACAGAACTTCAACTCTCTGGATCACTACCTAGATGTGCCTGTGGACCTATCCAAGGTAGGTGGACACACACACCCATTATGATTCTCTAGCCAATGGTGGCCATTCCTGGTCCTGCAGGGCTTCAGTGTGTGCAGACTTTTGTTACAGCCCAACACTAATAATGAATGGATCATGGTCTTGAATCTAACAGTTTGTGTCCTTGTGTTCTTTCTAGGTTCTGTTTATCTGCACTGCCAATGTGACTGACACCATCCCAGAGCCCCTGAGAGACCGCATGGAGATGATCAACGTGTCTGGATACGTGGCCCAGGAGAAACTAGCCAACGCTGAGGTAATGTGTTACGACATTAGATTCAATCAGACAGCTGTCTCCACATACAACGCATAGAGAAGACAAAGTCAACAAACATGGTTTACATCACAAAGCAAAACACCCACCCCATCTTACATCAAACATTGAGTCATTAACAATGTTTCCATCCAACCTTTTTATGCGAGTAAAGTGCTTGTCGGATAAAAAACAAATGACAGACCTGATGGAAACAGCAAATTGTTTGTGTTGTGTGGACAGTTTATTAGCTACAGATGATTCATGTTATGATGAACTTCACAGGGTGGTGAAAGTGTATGGTGATGAGCTTGATGCTCTTTTCCAATAAATACAAAGGGTCTTAATTTGTATGCTGGTGACATGACGATCGGTGCTAGGCTGCCAGGTGACAAATAAAAATGATCTTGCTCTAATTCATAATCACATCATTGAATCATTGCACTGTATCTGTGAGCCGTCTGCTAGAGCGCATGTGCCAGACCAGAGTAGGCAAATTTGCTGTTTATCACAATACTTTTTGGGAAAAAACCATCGGCACTACGTGCACTAGGTCAGTACGCAAGCTTTTTAAGCACAAGCCAAATGCGTAAAATGTGCATATCTTTTTGTGCAAATTATTAGAATATGAAAAATGTTTGACAAATGGATGGACTCCTAGCTGTTGGTTGTATCTCCATCTCACTGTAACACTGTCTCGTCTCTTTCTTTCTCTCTAACAGAAGTACCTGGTACCCCAGTTGCGTACTCAGTGTGGGCTGACTGAGGATACGACCAACATCTCGCCAGAGGCTCTGAACCTTCTCATCAGACAGTACTGCAGAGAGAGTGGAGTAAGGAACCTACAGAAACAAGTGGAGAAGGTCAGCCCAACCTTCACCTTCTGACTGCATGTCTTAGTGGGTATTTGTAAGTCGCTCTGGATAAGAGCGTCTGCTAAATGACGTAAATGTAAAATGTAAATGTATTCTCTATACACTATGGGACAAATTTTCATTTATTCGACTTAAGTGGAAGTTAAGATTCTGCCCTATGAAAAGGGAAATAATAGACTTTAGAATGTTGCTGATGTATCCAGGTGTTCAGGAAAGTGGCGTTCCATATAGTAAGCAGGGAGGAGACGGCGGTCCAGGTTACCCCTGACAACCTGCAGGATTATGTCGGCAAGCCCATCTTCACTGTGGATAGAACACCGCCTGGCGTTGTCATGGGCCTGGCATGGACAGCCATGGGTAAGAAAGACCAGTGACATGGAACATACACTGAACAAAAATATACAGTGGGGGAAAAAAGTATTTAGTCAGCCACCAATTGTGCAAGTTCTCCCACTTAAAAAGATGAGAGAGGCCTGTAATTTTCATCATAGGTACACGTCAACTATGACAGACAAATTGAGAAAGAAAAATCCAGAAAACCACATTGTAGGATTTTTAATGAATTTATTTGCAAATTAAGGTGGAAAATAAGTATTACCAAATTGTACATAACCCCACCGCCACCATGCAGCACTCTGTTCACAATGTTGACATCAGCAAACCGCTCGCCCAATGTCTGCCATTTGCCCGGTACAGTTGAAACCGGAATTCATCCGTGAAAAGCACACTTCTCCAGTGTGCCAGTGGCCATCAAAGGTGAGCATTTGCCCACTGAAGTCGGTTACAACGCTGAACTGCAGTCTGATCAAAACCCTGGTGAGGACGACGAGCACGCAGATGAGCTTCCCTGAGACTGTGTCTGACAGTTTGTGCAGAAATTCTTTGGTTTTGCAAACTCACAGTTTCATCAGCTGTCCGGGTGGCTCATCACAGACCATCCCGCAGGTGAAGAACCCGGATGTGGAGGTCCTGGTCTGGCATGGTTACACGTGGTCTGTAGTTGAGAGGCCGGTTGGACGTACTGCCAAATTCTCTAAAACTACGTTAGAGGCGGCTTATGGTAGAGAAATGAACATTCAATTTTCTGGCAACAGCTCTGGTGCATATTCTTGCAGTCACCATGCAAATTGCACACTCTCTCAAAATGTGAGACATCTGTGGCATTGTGTTGTGTGACAAAATGTTAATGGCCTTTTGTCCCCAGCACAAGGTGCACCTGTGTAATGATCATGCTGTTTAATCAGCTTCTTGATATGCCACACCTGTCAGGTGAATGCATTATATTGGCAAATGAGAAATGCTCACTAACAGGGATGTAAACAAATGTGTGCACAACATTTTAGAGAAATAAGCTTTTTGTGCATATTGAACATTTCTGGGATCTTTTATTTCAGCTCATGAAACATGGGACCAACACTTTACATGTTGCGCTTATATTTTTGTTCAGTGTAGAAGAGAGATGTGTTTTACAAGCATTATCCATAGAGAACAATACAAACACAGCTCTGATCTTAAAGTCCCCCACTTCATCACTCCTCTCCAGGTGGCACCACGCTGTTTATAGAGATGGCCCTGAGACGGCCGCGAGACACGGGGGGGTAAGGATAAGGACGGCCCCAGGGATGGGTCCCTGGAGATCACAGGGCAGCTTGGAGATGTGATGAAGGAGAGCGCTAAGATCGCCAGTACCTTCGCCAGGGCCTTCCTCGTGAAGCAGCAGCCGGACAACGACATATTTTCTGGCTCCCATCTCCATCTGCACGTCCCTGAGGTAGGGTTGATGTAATTAATGGCACTGTCCTTAGACTGTAGCAGTTTTAACGTTTTGTCTGGTATACACCTGGATCTGCACATCCCTTTCGTACAAACTGTGTCGGTTTGTTTTTGCCTCGATGTAAAGATTTCGATGTACATGTACTGACCATGTAATCTGATCTTCATGTCATATACCCATTACAGTATTCTATGAAAAGGGACCTTCAATGTACACAAACAACATCCACTGTAGACAAGCCATACCGAAAGGAACTGTGTTGTGTATTGATTTTTATACATAACCACAACCTCATGAAGAAGTTTCTTATTAACCTCTACTCTCCCTGTATCACTCACTGAGGACGACTTTGGTTGTTTACAGGGTGCTACTCCCAAGGACGGGCCCAGTGCCGGCTGCACCATCGTTACGGCCCTGCTGTCCCTGGCGACCAACACGCCAGTGCGGGAGAATTTGGCCATGACGGGAGAGGTGTCCCTGACCGGAAAGATCCTGCCTGTGGGAGGCATCAAGGAGAAGACCATTGCTGTGAGACATCATTTTTACTAATAACACTCTGTTTATTTACCAGGGAGCTTAGTGTGATAGATTCACCAATTAATACATTTTATGAGGACATTAACCAAGAAGGAAGCAAAATGTACTTCAAGTAGCCTGTTAGTTTGTTATAGTAGAGTGGTATGTGAAGTAACTCTTCCAGATAGCTGATATTCAAAACTATATGCAACTATACGTTTTGCATATGACTTAGTTTAATGTATGGTTCAATATGTTCTTCTGAAAGCCTGTTCAAAATAAATCATGAGGGTACAATGGTAGTATGAAACTGGAAATGACAGTGGAGTTTGCATAGATATCAGAGGCTGGTGGGAGGAGCTATAGGACAGGCTCATTGTAATGATATGATGATATGCCATTTAGCAGACGCTTTTATCCAAAGCGACTTAGTCATGCATAAAAAAATGTTTTGCGTATTGGTGGTCCCGGGGATCGAACCCACTACCTTGGCGTTACAAGCGCCGTGCTCTACCAGCTGAGCTACAGAAAATAGATGTTGTGGTGGCAGCTGCAGAGAAGTACTTGGGGGTATGAGATTTGACTTCAGAAGAGTTACAGCATGTGTTTATTTTTCGAATAGTAGAACAGTATCAAGCATATGGGAACCACAGGTTTGACTTCATTCCATTTATACTATTCCAGCCATTACAACCAGCCTGTCCTCAAATAGCTCCTCCCACCAGCCTCCTCTGATAGATATGGTTGTATACAGTGCATTCAGACCCCTTCCCTTTTTCTACATTTTGTTACATTACAGCCTTATTCTAAAATTGATTAAATAAATACAATTCCTCATCAATCTACACACAATACCCCATAATGACAAAGCGAAAACAGGTTTTTAGACATTTTTGCAAATGTATTAAAAATCAAAAACACCTTATTTACATAAGTATTCAGACCCTTTGCTATGAGACTCGAAATTGAGCTCAGGTGCATCTTGTTTCCATTGATCATCCTTGAGATGTTTCTACAACTTGATTGTAGTCCACCTGTGGTAAATTTCATTGATTGGACATGATTTGGAAAGGCACACACCTGTCTATATAAGGTCCCACAGTTGACAGTGCATGTCAGAGCAAAAAAAAGCCATGAGGACGAAGGAATTGTCCGTAGAGCTCCGAGACAGGATTGTGTCGAGGCACAGATTTGGGGAAGGGTACCAAAACATTTCTGCAGCATTGAAGGTTCCCAAGAACACAGTGGCCTTCATCATTCTTAAATGGAAGAAGTTTGGAACAACCAAGACTCTTCCTACAGCTGGCCACTTGGCCAAACTGAGCAATCAGGGAGGTGACCAAGAACCCAATGGTCACTCTGACAGAGCTCTAGAGTTCCTCTGTGGAGATGGGAGAACCTTCCAGAAGGACAACCATCTCTGCAGCACTCCACCAATCAGGCCTTTATGGTAGAGTGGCCAGACGGAAGCCACTCATGATAATTTTAATAGATTTACCCCCCAAAAATCTAAAAACCAGTTTTTGCTTTGTCATTATGGGGTATTGTGTATAGATTGATGAGGGGGGAAAAAAACAATTTACTCAATTTAAAAATAAGGTTGTAACATAACAAAATGTGGAAAAAGTCAAAGGGTCTGAATACTTTTCCAAATGCACTGTATGGCAGAGCTTATGTTCGGAAACGTGTCTGAAGGTTTTTCTATTAGCAGTGTCGTAATGAATCTGCTTGAACATTCCTCCCTTCTCTCACCAGGTGAAGCGTGCAGGGGTGACCTGCATGATTTTACCAGCTGAGAACAAGGACTTCTCTGACCTGCCTGAGTTCATCACAGAGGGCCTGTAGGTTCACTTTGTGGATCATTACACCAAGATGTACCACATTGTCTTTCCATAACACCGAATCATATTAAGCTGTGAGTCTGGCGCCTGAGCGGCTACCAGGGATGGATACAACTGGATAGATAATGGTCTATCTACATTCACAGTAATGGACTTTAGGGCATCCTGAACTATGAAACCAGATTTTCTGATGAGTGATTTGTTTTATAAGTACATTCACTTGCTGTTTAAAGCCCTACATCTGACAGTGTGTGAGACAGCTGATCAGTTGGACCACAGACACGGAGCAGGGGGTCTGTTCAGGAGGGTAAAACATTAAAGAACGTTTGCTAGAAATGTATGGTGTAGAACAGGTACGATTGTCTCCCCTGTAGCTCAGTTGGTAGAGCATGGCGCTTGCAACACCAGGGTTGTGGGTTCGTTTCCCACGGGGGGCCAGTATGAAAATGTATGCACTCACTAACTGTAAGTCGCTCTGGATAAGAGTGTCTGCTAAATGACTAAAATAGAAAATAGGGAAGGATCAGCTCTATAAATTGCATTTCTATCAGCAATGTTCAACCCCTGAGAACACCCCTGATGTGTTGAAGTACAGTAGGCCTTAGGAGGGGATGCTAGCTTTACAACAGTAATACAAAGATCCCCAAAAACTACCACAGTTGGTCATGTCACTGCTACGCAGCCTAGACTTAGGTCTTTTTTATTGACCAAATATGTAGGTTGCATTTAATCTGTTGAAACAAACTTGAGTACTGTCATTTAACACAATTGTTTGTGCCCACTTGATCAACAGTGGTTTCATAACATACCATTTGCCAGTTTCTGCAGAAAGCACACAGGCTGCCGGTAAGACTTGTATATCATTGGCTATCCCTTTGGCATGTCTAAAAATGCAGGCAACTGTACTACTGGGAAGTACACTACCCAGACGATTAGACACTCAGATTTCAATGAAAGTAAATGGCTTATTTAGACAGACGTGCCCCAAAGACATCTGAAGAGTTCTACTCCAGGTCTGTAGTGTCTGCAGGCATCTCACCCTAGTAAACTTGAAAAGACATGCAGCCTGAAGCATATGTATGCTCAAGGATAAATGGAAATCTCTCCCCTCTGCAGATTGAGAAAAGTAGTTCAAACAGTCCAAGCCCATTGCTAAGCATAGTACCACTTAGTCGTTCTAAAATTAGAAACAAAGGAACTGAAAACTTTCAATTTTCTTAAATACAAATATTTATTTGCAAGAACCGCTTAATCCTTCTTGGCAGCTGCTTTCCTCATGGCAGCTAGGACATTGCTGAGCTCTTCCCTCTTTCTCTTGGCGCGGATGTGAGTTCCAATCTGTGGAGCAAACACACATTAGAATGTGCAACAGGGAAAACCCAACAAACGCATCTGCAACTTTCACAGCAGGTTAACTACCATGCTCAGGATGAAATAAGCACTGAAGCATGTCTCTGGGACAGTAATCAACAAATATGGGGCTAGCAGTTCCATAATGCAAAACTTCCCTTGCTTTTGTTTTGAATTAAATGATTGGACAAACTATAGGATAATAATTATACTGATCCAATAGTTTTGATGCATCTTGCCAATAAATACTCTACAGAGGAAACAGTCCATAACATTTCAGACAGCTGCACAAAATGCTAGACATTCCCAAACAGGTGTCTAGTTCAAAATCAATGGGGTAATACAAAATCTGTTCAGTTTGAAAAATGTACTTATTTTGTTCTCAAACTGTCACAAGAGAGCAGCTGCAGAAAGCAACAGTAACTGACATGGGACAAATGCATCCATGCTGCCAATACCAACACAAATAAACCCAGCCAGGTTAGTAGCGGGGGAATCATACATACCCTCTTCTTGATGAACTTGAGGGCACGCTTGTCCTTGGAAACCTTCAGCAACTCCATGGCGCGTCTCTCGTAGGGGGCGAAGCCGCACACCTCACGGATCATGTCACGCACAAACTTGCTGTGCTTGGTCAGACGCTGAAATACAAATCAGTGAAGAGACACTGGGTTAGATGCATTAGAACCAACAGTAACTGTGGCTTATGTTCCAGCCATATTGTGGACCACTGGACCCATTTCTCATATAATAACAGGTGCAACCATTTGATGTGGTCATCTACTTTGTGTCAGAACATATGTATGCATGTCAATGATGTAGGGGAGACAGCCGAAGCGAATCCTGAACCCCGGCCCTCAATCACTACACTGGTGGCAGCAATGGGATTAGAACACAAATTTGAACTAGCACCCAGCAGTTCTAGGTCAAGCAAACAACCTGTGGCAAAGGATCCATAGTCTAGACCAGGGTTCTTCAATTCCGGTCCTGGAGGGCCGAAACACTTCTGTTTTTTATTTCTACCTGGTAGTTAATTGCACTCACCTGGTGTCCCAGGTCTGAATTAGCCCCTGATTAGAAGGAGAGGATGAAAAACAGAGGTGTTTCGGCCCTCCAGGACCGGAATTGAATAACCCTGGTCTTGACCCTTTACCTGAGGACGTAGTGACCTGATGGACTCTACCAATACGACACTACATGTGGGTGTCATGTTTCTATCCATTCAGATTAACTCACCCCTCGCCTACGAGCATGTTTCGGCGCGGTCACATTCTTGGTTACTGGGTGGCCTTTGCTAAGGCCCACGGCCATAGGATACCTGATGGCCATGTCTGTGGAAAGAAAGAACTGAAGTTAAGTTACCAGAGGAATGTCCTCTGGTCTGATTAAACAAAATTACAATTGTTTGGCCATAATGACCATCGTTATGTTTGGAGGAAAAAGGGGGTGGCTTGCAAGCCGAAGAACACCATCCCAACCGTGAAGCATGGGGGTGGCAGCATCATGTGTGGAGGTGCTTTGCTGCAGGAGGAAATGGTACACTTCACAAAATAGATGGCATCATGAGGAAGGAAAATGATGTGGATATATTGAAGCAACATCTCAAGACATCAGTCAGGAAGTTAAAGCTTGGTCGCAAATGGGTCTACCAAATGGACAATGACCCCAAGCATACTTCAAAATGTGTGGCAAAATGGCTTAAGGACAACAAAGTCAAGGTATTGGAGTGGCCACCACAAAACCCTGACCTCAATCCTGTAGAAAATTTGTGGGCAGAACTGAAAAAGTGTGTGCGAGTAAGGAGGCCTACAAACCTGACTCAGTTACACCAGCTCTGTCAGGAGGAATGGGCCAAAATTCACCCAACTTATTGTGGGAAGCTTGTGGAAGGCTACCCGAAACATTTGACCCAAGTTAAACAATTTAAAAGGCAATGCTACCAAATACTAATTGAGTGTATGTAAACTTCTGACCCACTGGGAATGTGATGAAATAAATAAAAGTTGAAATAAACAATTATCTACTATTATTCTGACATTTCACATTCTTAAAATAAAGTGGTGATCCTGACCGACCTAAGACAGGGAATTATTACTAGGATTAAATGTCAAGAATTGTGAAAAACTGAGTTTAAATGTATTTGGCTAAGGTGTATGTAAACTTCTGACTTCAACTGTATATAGGACCAAACACACATCACAACGAGACAACACTACATAAAGAGAGACCTAAGACGACAACATAAGTATGGAAGCAACACAGGACAACACAGCATGGTGGCAACCCAGCATGAAAACAACATGGTAGCAACACAACATGGCAGCAGCACAACATGGTAGAAGCACAAGACATGGTACAAACATTATTGGGCACAGACAACAGCACAAAGGGCAAGAAGGTAGAGACAACAATACAACACGCGAAGCAGGAACAATTGTCAGTAAGAGTGTCCATGATTGAGTCTTTAAATGAAGAGATGGAGATAAAATCTGTTATTTTATGGTTGTAAGTGATTAAATGAACTAGAACATTTTATATTGTGCAATTCTGAGTAATTACTACTTTAGTAAGGATATACTTTATTCAGTACTACCGCAGTTGCTAAATGATTCCAATCGATTGCAGCATAAGACCACAAATGAAATTTCAGAAGATTAGTTTAGTTCTCTCCCTGGATACACCACTCCCCTCACAGGAAAACTCCTGCGCGCACTTTTTTCTGTCCCTTTCCACACTGCTAACGAAAGAGGAAGGACTGAAAAAGCATTTAACAGATTACTGTGAAGTAATATAATGATTCATGTTTATTACCTGTTTTTATGCTCCTGTTTAGAAATTATACTTCATTACTATAACGATTAGCAATAAGCCTGAACAGTCATTCAGTCACCTCTGGTCGACAAAAACATATTTCCTAGTACATACATTGTCAAATTCATCAACCAGCAACAACCCGCTCTGCCTTCTCGCAAAAGTAGCCAACTCAACAAGCCCCGCCAAAAGCTTGTGCCATCAGTGGCAGCGAGCACTCTGCCTTCTCGCGCAAGCGAGGGTCATGAAAGAGGTAAATTTGCTAACCGCAAGGGTTGCATTATGTAATTTGTTGTTGGGGTGGAAGACGCACTCGTCTTTTCCATTCCGAGGCCGTTTACTTCCAATATGATACGTTAAGAGGGTGTTTTTATAATGCATGTCTACTAGGGTTGAGGTTAGCGCATCTGACTAGTTATTATTTGGCCGGGGTTCAATACCTAGTATAGTCACTATTTTTTTGCTCACCATTTTAGAAAATCATGGGACATAGTCTTTGGGTGCATGCCATTTTATGTCAATCATATTGCTGCTATAGCCTATAACTGATGCTTTGTGGTCTTATGCTGCCATCTATTGGAAATATTTAGCAATTCAAAGTTATTAATTCACATAGAAATTGGTGAGGCAGCTGAGAAATAGTGTATTTTTCTCAGTCTCAAACCTGCCCCACCTACCCCAGCCAATTGCTGGACTTTCACATATAGGTTACTAGGTCACACCCAGCTCAAACCACATTTGAAAAATAAAATGTGGCTTGTTTATCAAGTGCTCTGCCTTGCAATAATAAATATAATAAAATAACAAAAATGCTCATAGGTTGTTTTTTTTAAACAATCAAAATGCTATTTAGTACTATAATGGTATTTACTAACATAATATTATTACAAAAATAGTTTCTGAAAGTGTTCTAGGCTACCCTACCCAATAATTCGGGTTAAGGCTAAAATAGGTTATACCTATTCATTTTCATCATTTAGCAGACGCTCTTATCCAGAGTGACTTACAAGGGGTTACAGCTAAAATAGGTTATACCTAGGGTTATGGTTAGAAAACTGGTGACCATTACAGCTATAGGTGCATTGTGTTACCGGTTAGGGTTAGAATTACCGTGACCATTACGGCTATAGGTGCATTGTGTTACAAGTCAGGTTTAGGGTTAGAAAATGGTGACCATTACAGCTATAGGTGCATTTTTTACCAGTTAGGGTTAAGGCTAAAATAGGTTATACGTAAGTTTAGGGTTTTTAAGGCAAAAAAACTGTATGGGTTTATAACTCTCTTGCTCCTCCCTGTGGCCTTCTGTGGGCACTACATAGCTCATTTGTGACACTAGCTAGGCTCATAATCTGAGGTAGCAACTGCGTCAGATCTACAAATCAATGCGCTAGACCTATCCATTTGGTTTGCAACTCAAGTGAACCTGCGAAGCAGTCGCTCAATTCGATGCCTATGAACAAACAGATTTCGACGCATATCAAATCACCCTGCAGCCATTTAGAAACAACAAATCGCCAAAAAAGGTTATTTCTTAATTTAAAAAATGTATTCTTTCTGGCTGTTTAAAATCGGCCACGTCTTGAAACAGAGTACAGGGACATGTATTTTGTTCAGGTTTACACCTTTTTCTGAAAAAAATATGATTTACCATCACCAGAAAATGTTTGACGGCTATGTGCCAGCCATCGTTAGCACTGTGGGTCACAATAACGTGTACACAGGCGAACAGTGAGTTTGCGCACCAAGTAGCCGTAACATTGTTAATAATAAGTTACCGGAGGTAAGCCTCCGAGTTCAACATGGGCAGCTCTCATCGCCAACAATAGCTTAGCAGGCATTAAGACATAGAACAATGGGCTGGGAATAGAGCGTTCGGAAGGCGAGTTGGTGCCACAGTGCTCAATAGAACTAATAGGAGCTGGCAGGGTGATAAATGACCTAAAATAAGGCCTGTTTTTTCACCATTACTTCAAAATTATGGCAAGCAGCTGGGACATATGGTAATATTTTGAAACTGGGCTCCATGGCGGATGCAATTTACTAGTTATCAGAAAAAAAGTGTTTAAAATGTCATGTGTCCAGCCTAGCTTGGGTGAGTAAAATGGTCTGAGTGAGTGAGATTCTCTCATTTGTGTCTGGAAGTAGCTAGCCAACGTTAGCCAGTTAGTTTGAGTGCTTGACTGCAGCTGTGAGGTCAGAATGGTCGGATCAACCCTACTCCTCAGCCAGAGCGTCCAGTGTGCGTTCTGAACGCGGCGAGAGCACGAAACGCTCTGAATTTACAAACCGACAATCTGACACCACTCTGAATTTACGAACGCCCAGAACGCACACTAGCACTACAGAGTGAATTCAACAACACACCCTAAGATAAATTGTATAAATGGGCGGGTTTTATGACTTTGTGGCTGTGGTAACTAGTGAATAGTAGACATGAAATCATAACATTACAAACTGTGTAGGTCATCACTAAATACTTCATAATAACCCAAATGTTAAAAGTGGCGGAGTTGCTACACAAGCCACTAAAGCTAGCTCAACAAGCAGTCTTAACGTATTGAGGTGTATGCCTCTTGATTAAGCAAGTTAGCGAACGTTAACCAAATATGGCTGTTATAACAGACAGAATGCTAGCAATGTTAGCTAGATAGCTAACTAACGTAGTTATCTAGTAGTTGCTTACTTCTGCCGAGGAAAATGACTATATTAGACAAGGACATGCATGTCATCTAACTGTAAAGAGCGGCTCGTTACGAAACTCCAGCAACAAGGCGATATGATACGATTCTCATGTGTAGGGAAAGAAGTCATGTAAGCGCAGCAACTTTCCGGTGACGTTACCGCTAAATTATATTATTTATCATTACAATATTGGCGCCATGCTTTTCGTAACAACTAAACCTTATGTTAGTTCTATAAGAATTGCTGATAAACGAAGGATGACAATGATTTTGTGAAGATTTCAGATGATAGTAATTCTTCATCAAATTCTTACCTGCTTTCTTTAATGGCGGACAAACCGGAAGGAACGTTTAGCGGTGGATGCTGGGTAATGATGGTTTTTCATAAAATGTCAAACATCAGGAAAATCTTTTTAGTGCAACATGAGGATGCGGACCACTCAGACAATAGTTTTTCAAGGAAAAACTGTATAGCTAGCTATATAATCCAAAAGAGAATAATTTTGACCTCTCAGCAGTATGAACAAAATTAAATCAAATGTTATTGGTCAAATGCTTTGTAAACAACTTGTGTAGACTAACAGTGAAATGCTTTACTTACGGCCCTTCCCAACAATGCAGAGAGAAAGAAAATAGAGAAATAATAGAAAAGTAAAACATGTAATAATAAATACACAATGAGTAACGATAACTTGGCTATATACACGGAGTACCAGTACCGAGGGATACAAGGTAATTGAGGTAGATATGTACATATTGTATATCTAGGAATAAAGCGACAGATAATAAACAGTAGCAGCAGCGTATGTGATGAGTAAAATATTTTAGTGCAAAAAGGGTCAATGCAGATAGTCCGGATAGCTATTTGGTTAACTATTTAACTAACTATTTAGCAATCTTATGGCTTGGGGGCAGAAGCTGTTCAGGGTCCTACTGGTTCTGCTTGCCTTTCGGTAGCAGAGAGAACAGTCCATGACTTGGGTGACTGGAGTCTTTGACAATTTTTAGGGCCTTCCTCTGACATCACCTGGTATAGAGGTCCTGGATGGCAGGGAGCTCGGCCCCAGTGATGCACGGGGCCATACGCACTACCCTCTGTAGCGCCTTGCGGTCGGATGCCAAGCAGTTGCCATACCAAGCGGTGATGCATCCGGTCAAGATGCTCTCAATGGTGCAGCTGTAGAACTTTTTGAGGATCTGCGGGCCCATGCCAAATCTTTTCAGCCTCCCGAGGGGGAAGAGGCATTGTCGTGCCCCTCTTCACGATTGTGTGTGGACCATGATAGATCCTTAGTGATGTGGACACTGAGGAACTTGAAGCTCTCAACATACTCCACTACAGCCCGTCAATGTGAATGGAGGTGTGCTCAGCCCTCCATTTCCTGTAGTCCACGATCAGCTCCTTTGTCTTTCTGATGTTGGGGGAGAGGTGCACACTGAACATGTGCACAATGCATGACAATTTCCATTTTATTTTCGTAATAAGAATATTATCACAATATTTATAATGTTTAGGCTAGTACTATTTATCCTCATTAAAGCTTTAAATCTGAATAAAGAAAATCAATAAAGAAGATAATTGGGTAAATGATCACACCCATTTATTGCTGAAGTGTTTATTTGTATTTTACAGAGAAACTTCTATTCAACCAGTCATTTTCCAACTCTGGACTATAGCTACCAGCTAGATCAGAGGCAAAACTCAAGCACAAGGAATGGCTGAAAGGACCTGCGGATAGTGGACGACTGTAGGTCGAGTTCATGGCTTAGCATGGCCCTCGAGGAGGCAAGAAAGAGATTTCGACCTGGAAAAGTGGAAAATATTGTCAGAAGTAGTCGGGTAATTGGTTAAGGGAGGAGGATTGGAGAGAAAGAGAGATGAGGTTGAAAATACTGAGAGAGGCAGAGGATGGGTGTGAATCTGTTGAAGCTAGCAATAACAAGGGAGAGGGTATGTCGAGGAAGATTGGTGTCAAGTTCAAACAGAGTGAGCCAGACACCAGTTTGAGTTTTGGAGGTGAAATGGAAGAGGTGGAAGGTGTGGTGAGGAGCTCGGAGCCCAAGCCTTGCATCGTTGGACATGGTTATGATAGAGATAAGTTTGGTCCAGTGGGAATGAGATTTTTTAAGAGGGTGGATCCAGGCCTTTTGGCTGATCCATGGGTCGTCTCAGGTTGGGTGGACTGGTGGGTGCTGTTGAGTCGGTGAAGGTAACCCGAGGTGGACTTGTGATGTTTGTTAGTGGTACTCTGTAGCTCAATTGGTAGAGCATGGCGCTTGTAACGCCAGGGTAGTGGGTTCGATCCCCGGGACCACCCATACATAAAAATGTATGCACACATGACTGTAAGTTGCTTTGGATAAAAGCGTCTGCTAAGTGGCATATTATATTATTATATTATTTCTTCAGATCAGAGGCAACAGGCGCTCCATGCGACGCAACTTGGGGAAAGACCTGTATCTTGCTTTACACTTAGGTACAGGGCACTATTGAAGGGAGTGATTTCTGGGGTAACGTTAAGTGTGGAGCAATTGAAGTTGAACATTCCTGGTGTTTATGATGCCCGCTGTTTGGTGCGATGCAGACCCGGCGGAGAGCTTGGTGAAACAGAAGTGTTCTTTTGCGCTTTGATTTAGTTTTTACCTGACAAATAATGTTAGGATATATTAATTATGCTGTTAGAGCTTTTGTGCCAAATCCACTGTGGTGTTATAGGTGTCATGTTTATGGGCATGTCACAGCAGTGTGTAGGAGGGAGATTCCAAGATGTGGGAAGTGTGCAGGAGGACATGGGACAGAGGAATGTGTAGTTTCGGTTGAAAAGTTGTGTGTCAACTGTAGGGGTGCCCATGTTGCTGGGGATTGGAGGTGTCCAGTGCGAGAGAGGCAGGTTGAGGTGGCCAAGGTCAGAGTAGTGCAGAAGGTGTCGTATGCTGAGGCAGTGAAAAAGTAGAGGAGGGTGGATCAAGGGTGAGGGATTCTGAGAGGATCCCTGTGAATAGTAGATCTGTGTCAGAACAGAAGGATAGCCCAATGAGTGACATATGTTTCAGTAAGGTTGGCTTCTTAGCGTTCATAGCAATGGTTATCAACTGTACCACGGAGATGGAACGTAAGCATTTTACATTTACATTTTAGTCATTTAGCAGACACTCTTATCCAGAGTGAGTGCATACATTTTCATACTGGCCCCCCGTGGGAAACGAACCCACAACCCTGGCATTGCAAGCGCCATGCTCTACCAACTGAGCTACAGAAAATAGATGTTGTGGTGGCAGCTCCAGAGAAGTACTTGGGGGTATGAGATTTGACTTCAGAAGAGTTACAGCATGTGTTTATTTTTCAGTTCACCTTCCCATTTTGTATCACAAAGTGTAATGATGGATCTATACTATAGTTCAGTTGGGGCAGTAATGCAACATATTGGGTGCCAACCGCCGTTAAACCTCACTGAAGAAAAAGAAGAAGCAGCAGAAGCAGCAGAAGCAGAAGAAGCAGAAGAAAAAACAACTGATTATGGAATGTATGATTACGGAGAGTATAACTTACTTCCTGGAGAGCAGGGGGCTAGTATCGCCACATCAGAGTGGGATCAGGAAGGGGAGGGGAACTATGGACCGAGTGCTCTGCTTAGAAGCAGAGGTCAGGAAGGCTCAGGTGAACAAGGAAACTGTTGTAGCTGTCTTTTTTGATGTGGAGAAGGCGTATGATAGGATGTGGAAGGAGGGGTTGTTAATCAAGCTTGATATTATGGGGGTAGGAGGAAGAACGTAAAACTGGATAAAGGATTTCCTGTTTGGAAGGTCTATCCAGGTGAGGGTGGGGAAGTCTCTATCAGGCAGCTACCTGGTGGATAACGGTACACCGCAGGGGAGCGTGATTAGTCCTCTGTTGTTCTCAATCATTATCAATGATGTTTACTCTCAGGTACGGACGGATATTGGGAGGTTGTTAGTTGCAGATGATGGGGCCTAATGGAAGCCATACAAAGTTTCAGACTTTGAGGTTTGTTACTTCCGTTTTGAGCGCATCACTTGTCTCTGTGCTACGCTGTTTGTTGCTGCTTGGCTACCTGCCAAACTTGACAGTTTTAAACCGTTTAATCTATCTTAATTTAACACATTTTACCAACGTCTTAGTTATTTGTATATTTTTTAATCGCTCAACTTTTTTCTTTCAACTTTTTCACCCCAGACGCTTTATCTGGACATGGTTCTACAGGACCTCCACCAGCCGAAGCTAAGTAGTAACAGGAGAACTATCACCTTATGGTGAGGATAGCCGTGCTGCAAGCACAGCTTTAGACGCAATCGTTAGGCAAGGGCAATGTAAGTGTAGGAAAGGAAGAAACAGCGTCTGTACCACCAGTAAGTACAGATAGTAGTATAAATCCCCTCGCACAGACCCCGCAGCCGGACAATTTTCTCAAGGCTTCTGGAAATAAATGATGTTGGCATGCTCAACCAGTGTCGCTCATTCAGCCGACAGAAACTTTCAACCGGTTCTCCCCATTAAGCAACGAGTCGGAGTCAGAGGCCAAGCCTTCTCAGGTCTCTCCTCCACCCGTTACGGGGTCTGAGCCACCGAAGCCTCCCACCATTAGCTCGGACAAATTGAAAACCCTAGTCATTGGCGACTCCATTACCCGCAATATTAGACTTAAAAGAATCATCCAGCGATCATACACTGTTTACCAGGGGGCAGGGCTACCGACGTAAAGGCTAATCTGAAGATGGTGCTGGCTAAGACAAAAACTGGCAAGTGTAGAGAGTATAGGGATATTGTTATCCACGTCGGCACCAACGATGTTAGGATAAAACAGTCAGAGGTCACCAAGAGCAACATAGCTTCAGCATGTAAATTAGCTAGAAAGATGTGTCAGCATCGAGTAATGCTCGATGCTGGGCCCCCTCCCAGTTAGGGCGAGTGATGAGCTCTGCAGCAGAGTCTCACAACTCAATCGCTGGTTGAAAACTGTTTTCTGCCCCTCCCAAAATATAGAATTTGCAGATAATTGGCCCTCTTTCTGGGACTCACCCACAAACAGGACCACGCCTGGCCTGCTGAGGAGTGACTGACTCCATCCTAGCTGGAGGGGTGCTCTCATCTTATCTACCAACATAGACAGGTCTCTAACTCATCTAGCTCCACAATGAGATAGGGTGCAGGCCAGGCAGCATGCTTTTAGCCAGCCTGCCAGCTTAGTGGAGTCTGCCACTAGCACAGTCAGTGTAGTCAGCTCAGCTATCCCCATTGAGACCGTGTCTGTGCCTCGATCTAGGTTGAGCAAAACTAAACACGGCAGTGTTTGCCTTAGCAATCTCACTGGAATAAAGACCTCCTCCATTCCTGTCATGACTTAAAGAGATTGTGATATCTCACATCTCAAAATAGGGCTACTTAATGTTAGATCCCTCACTTCCAAGGCAGTTATGGTAAATGAACTA